GTCCTTCCACTTCCAGCCGTAACATCTCTAGCAAAGGCATGCGCTCTTCCATTGGAGGTGCGATTTTGGCCATATCCTCAAGAAAGTGAATGTTGAGTAGTGAATGGTGGACACCAACTCTGCACAATATTGGCTGCCACAACAGACACTGGAAGAAGTCTCTGTCACGAAGTCTACCATCAATCTTGAATCACCAACGCCTCAGCGTGTATATGCTCTTCAATTGGCAGTGTCACACAGGCTCCTACCTGTAATGCGGCTGACATGTTTTCCTCCCTTCCAAATACCACTGCCGCTGTCACCGCAGCTTCAAATATTAAAAATAATCTGTTCTGACATTCACTTATATCTAATTTCCATTTAATACCACAATCAATTTTTTATCTTTCTTTTATTTGTGGGTACTTTAACGTTCATCTATACATCAGTCTGAGATGGCGAAGGCATTAGTAATAAAGGAGTAGTATATTGGGCATGTGGTGAGTGAAGGGTTGCTTTTGCAACTGGTTCCATGCACCATACCGCGGCAACCTTTCGTCCATTGATGAGATGAACTCCATTTCTTCCTTCTAACGCAGTGTTTGATTGACGCATTATAGGTAGCAGAAAAATAAAATAATTTCCAATCATTAAATCCCACTTGTCTGACGTGATGTAATCCTTTAGTTGTTTTTTTAACTCTCGGTTTTGGTGACGGAGCACTCAGGGTCTCCGCCATTGGCAGGCGGCATGGCTTCTGGGCCGCGACAATGGTCTCAATCCATTTTATGCGTCAACAAGACATTTTCTGCCCTATCATTGCGTCTTCTTTCGTCTTCAGGGAAGTCTCGGAGCTCTTCATTGGTAATAGCTGAAAGCAGACCCTCTCTTGAAGACTGACAATCCCAATTTCAACTGCTGGATTTTAAGCGCTAGTAGGTCGGAAGAAGGGCATATGCAGCGGGTAGGAGAATCTGAGACAACCCTTAATAGAAGGGCGGGGATACGACGTCTACCGTCGGTAGGTAGGCCAATTTTGTGGTCTGCAAGGAGGCTATTAACAACAAAAGTGATCCTTCTGTGAACTATCTGTAAACATTTGTTACGGACCTGTCTGCCCTATCTGTGCCCGAAACCCTATCCTCGCGAAACTCTCCCAAACCCCGTCCATTATTACGTGACTGCTTTTAGGCCGGTGTTCCTGCGACTAATTTTAGACGCGCGTGATGGTCAGGGCGTTCGCCCATCTTAAATCTTGTTTCCATGCCAGATGAAACACTAGATGACATGGGATTGGCAAGAGGGATCATTGCCGTTGCTGTGACATGTGATCTCAGATTCAAGCCAATTGTTTGACGACTGCGGTTGGTTTGCTGGCATTTTTGTTACTACCTTGGTTACATTGTGGCAGATGAGAGTGGTTTTTAATACGTTAATTATTTGGTTAACTCTCGATTTTTGGCAAGAGGCTACTTTGGGGCCCACCATTATGCCGCCTCCGGGCGGCCTGGCCTCCAAGTCATGTCAGCAGACTCAAAGCCCTTCTGTAGTGCAACAATGAAAGTATTGTGTCTTCTTTCGGCTTTGGAAAAGTCTCAGACCTCTACACTTGTGTCGTGTGACTTCTGACTACGTTGGTAGTGCACAGGCCGTTTCTTTTGTAAAATATTTTGAGTGTGATTACTGTGCACTGGTGAGAATTTTCTGGAAAGTGGGAAGGAATGGTAGCGATTTGAAACCGTATAAGGATCCACAATTCCAAATCAATGCTTACTCATGTTTTGTTGCGTTAAAAAGCTTTGATTCGAGGTGCCGACGCTAATTAATTCTGTCCAATTGAAAGAAACTCTCGCCCGATAAAGTCTAGCACACACCTCTCCCCTCTGTTTGGATGACCTGAACATGATCTTACAAAGTGTAAAATCATAAAATGATACCAGGTTATGCACTCCTAGAACTCTCTCATTCTGAGTGTCGTACCTTAAAATGAAATAATTTTGCGCAAAACAGCGCTTTATTTTCCCCATAATTAAGGCTGTAAGCTGGCTAATCAAGAATTCTGAGAAAGGGTAAAATCGGCATTTCGTGAGGAGAATAACAAGTCCGCGCACATGTTGTCCCCTGAATTTACCGACCACAATGTCGTGCTTGCATAAAGTAATGCACCCTGAGGTATGCTGCGTGCTGGTCTTTGGTGGCCTAAGTACGGGCACCACCGAGATCGCTATCGAAGTAACCAAGATCTACGACTTCAGGAAGGTGAGGTCTTTAATGCGGACAGTGAGTGCACGGATAGACTGGAACATTTTAGAGTCCGGAAAAAGAAATTCCAATTCTGCGTCAAGAAAACACGGTATATTTTTAGCTCTCATTTTCCATCAAACGGAATGTCCTCTTCCATGGATGGTAAATTTGCCTCCTTAAAAGGCATTCATTTCAGAGCACACATAACAGTTGTATTAATTAAATCACTAATAAGTTTATTTCCTGCATTCCAGTTAGATTTTCCCACCATTTCTTACATTTTGTAGGGTTAGTGGCCCTGGGAAAGTGTGTAAATTCCCTTCACAAGTACATACAGTTTTATGTCATGTTGGAATAAACAATGCATCTCAAGGCATCATATTCTTTCGGGATACTAGTTAAAAACATTTCAAAAAGCATTCCATAGTTGGTATAATATCGTCCTATCCTCAGATGATGAACCAAAATAATTTACGTCTTGTGCACATAACTTCATGGGGAAAAGATTTTATCCGTTTAATAATACTCAGAATTTAAGGGAAGAATAGAACAATTCTGGAAGCACACTCAGGTTTGCAGGACAATTCAGTCTGACCGAACATTTTGTTTAGGAATGCGGAGATACTACTTGCATCAAGTCTTCATCAGGTTTTTGCATTTTTGCTAGGGAATATCTGAAACCCCAGAAGAGGCAAATTTTCAATCTTTTAGAAAGTCTAGTTAATAGCTAATCGCCGAACATCCGTACAGGGACGTTTTATAGTTCGTTCAAGCGGAGTCAATCACTTGGAGGCCAAAATCAACCAGTTAATTCAGATACGCCTTAATGAAATCACCGACTCGGACTGTCGCCACTATTTGGCTGTCAAGTCCTTGTGCAACCATTGTGTACCCTTTGCTTACCTCGCTACTCTGGCAATAAAGACATCTTCCAAGGAATCTTCTCTCTTGACTATCTCTCTTCAGAAGCACTATAAGACCCAAGCTAAGGGCTTCGTTTTTAATAATTGTTGACACTTCTTTTTCTCAGGTCAATTTATAGGATTAACATGGCAAAATATAAACGAACAGGCAAAAATACTATTTCGTTCCGGTAAATCTTAGAGAACTGTCCAAGCATGAAGGCAACATTCATCCCCCTAGAAGGAGGAAAATTTTGATTACTTGCAAACTTTTGTACCAAGCGGTGCTAGGTGTCTCCCACCAGTGATATGAAACTAAAGATGACGGAGTAAAACAGTGGAAATGTCGTAGGATACAATTCTGGAATTAAATTCCCCCCCTCAACCAAAGACCCAAATTAATTTAATTTCTCAGGGATTAGCCCCTGTTTGTAGTGCGATTGGAAGGTGGTCAGCTAAAATGTATGAATTGTAAGTAAGCATAATCGCTGAGCTGCTTCTAATCGTGTCACGGTAGATTAGTGATACCAACAAGCCGTGATTTCACTGCATCAGATTGTGGTCATCACCACGTGGCGACGACTGAAATACGTTAAAACCTGCAACAGGGTCAAGGCCGGTAAAAGACGTAAAGAGCTGGCAATGGGACTATCCCCGTGAGTCAGGACCTCAGTTAGTGTGCGAGCACGCAGTTGTTGTGCAATAGTTGTGTATAGATTGATGGTAATAAAAGTATTTCTTTCTGAAGCCTATACCTCTAATTCTAATTGGGAGCTCAACAGGGTCTGGCCCCATACACAGGCGCCAGCTCATAGTAAGTGGGAGCTCAGAGCCCTACCATTGGCATTCAGGATGCCAATGAACAAACATGAGTCACATTACCAGAAACTTCTTAAAACCTCTGTCAGACTGAAAGTCCCAAGCCTTTGATTCTATCCGCCAATGTTGTCGCATAGTTTAATTAACCCTCGGAATTCGGCACTAAAATAAGACCTTTTGGTCCTAAAAAATGTGAAGGATTCCTCATGTCCGGGTTAGCCGGCACTGGTGGTTGATGAAAACGGCCCACGGAGATCAGCGCCAGCTAGCCATCAAAATCAAAATAAATCTTTCTCAGTTTTGATTAGGATTAGACACCAATCAAGTGAAATTTTAATGCAATTCGCAGATTTAGAGGTCTCCACTGGATGCCTCGCTTGCGAAAATAACCGCTTCTGCTTCAAATGACACTTAGGTCATGTGATGTGAACTAATATAAGTTTTTTGGCCGACATAAGTGCATTTGTAAAATAAATTTTGGTTTGTTTAGTTCTTTACACATAGCATTCTATTCAATCTCAAAATCTGTACTTTTAATGCCTATAAGTGAAACATAGATCCTTATGCTTTCGTCAAGATAATTACTGCTTATGAGGTGTTTAGGTACTCCCTTATGGCTTTCAAATCTATAGAAGCAGCTCATCTCACGTGTTGTTTGCCATATGTAAATAGATTTGTCCCCATAGTGTAAAGAGGTGGATAAGTTAGTCACGAAACCATCATGTTATTTTGCAGAATCGTTAAGGTGGATATTTTTGCCTTTTTCATATTTGAAAAACAGAACAGTTTTGCAGTTGCTCAAGATTTCAAACCGCGTTAAATGTCAAAAAGAGGGGACAGAGGGAATTAAAGCAAATTATGTCAGTTAAGTAAAGGCAAACACCTCCACGCCGTCGGTTTGTGGATGCCTTTCACACTCACGTTTACCACACTCACTGCACACCCCGATTGGTTGACTGTTTTGGTCGTTTAAATCATAAGAACATTGTGTCTTCACTATCAGATCAGCAAGTACAAACTCATTTTTAGTCTTAGCAACACACAGTCTCTGCTGACATGAGACATGGATATTATGCACTCCTGGGGGGGTTCCTCATCATGTTTTCTCTTGGCCAAATGTACACTTTGGGTGAGTACAGGTATGTTATCAAAGCTGTGATGTTTCTTAATTCTGAAAACCAAAAATCTTTTTTAACACCAGCCAATATGGCACCTTACATTGTCTCCTTCCTTCACGAGTACGTCGATGCTAACATCAGTCCAGGCTTCGCCATTTCGCTATCTACAGGTGCTGTCGCAGCCTTCGGCATCACCCTGCCCCTCTCTGGCATCTTCTGGAGCAAAGTCGGCATCATGCGATTTGTCTTTGTTGCATGTCTTTTGAATAGGTAAAATGAATAATATGAGCTATTTTTTAAGACATAATGCATAAATTGCCTATATGTCTTTATTTTTGCCACCAAAGTGAGCAAAAAAGGGTTATCTTTTCGCTTTGACCCCTTTGATACTCATATGACTTCAAGAATTTGTGCAGCAAATTAAATGACACCCACATGACAGCACTATGAATGATTCTGAGTGGTTTTACAAGTTAATAGAATGTAAGAGCGCATTTTTTCAGAGCCAAAGACGTTACATTATTCTAAATTAAAGAGGTAATGCCAAGGTACAGCCTGAAAACATGAAATTAAAGGAAAGTGAATTTGTGAGACCCTCTCTAAGACAAAGCCTATGAACGAACTTCATCCAAGAGCTGCTTGGCGGACAGACGTTTGAGCCATTCTGCGAAATTCAGATGCATACAGAAGTGCAAATTAATAATCATCTTGTGAATAAACATCAATTTTTAAAAACCAGAAATTGGATTTTAGGGCAAACATGGGTCTTTGAAAGAGCTATTTTAAAGTGTTAGTAAATTGAAATGAAGTGGAACTTGAAACACGTGCCATCCACCCACCTATCCATTTATCACCTATCTAATGTCCAGCATTTTATAGGCCTAATTTTATGATCTTCATATGGCATTTTTAAAGGTCATTCAAAATTAACAATAAAATTTAGAATAGGAAATTTTAGATGCTGCGAGGTACAACCGCGCATTGGGAAAAGTAGAGTTGAAAGGCATTTGCATGTAGCAGTCATTCGGCAATTTTTCTCACCTGTTAGTTTCAACTTGGGAGCTTTTATGACTGGGGTAAGTTGCAAATATTAAATTACCAAAGTACCCCCTTAAAACCCAGGTGAAACCCTGGCAAAACTTGACACCACCATGGGTGAGATTTAAGGCTTCTTTAAAACAACTTCGGGCGGTTTAATTTGTGGAGATTAAGTTGCCTCTTCTGACGGCTAGAAAGCTGACACACCGTCAAAATAGATGGCAGAAATTTGACTTCTAATGCCCTTTCTATTCCCAAAATTACATTTCAGCGCCAGTGTATTCTTCTCTGCCTTCACAATAAGAGTCAACGCAATTCTTTTCTTCTTTACGTACTCAATTTTGGCGGGCATCGCTGTTGGATGTGGATATGGCTTAGTTCTTCAAGTGGCTCTTTCAGTGAGAACAGAGTTTGCATCGTTGTTTTGACTTTTACCTCTAAAAGCCCTTCATAGCATTGTATTAACCTAATGTTAACAGCAAATTTGGCAGAAGCTTGCTCAACTTAGTGCTAAACATTTTTGTCGCATTCTATTCAGTGGTTTCCAAAGAAGCATGGTCTTGTAGTCGGCATATGTACCGTTGGCTTTGGCGGAGGGGTTACGTTGTTACTCCCCATACAAACGATCCTCATAAATCCCAACAACACGTCTCCCAATGCAACTACCGAGTGGGTTTCATCTTTTTCCATTTCTACCATCGACACTGATTGCATACCAGGTTAATGAGGCAATGATGATAAAAGAAATTTCTTCCCACATTTTTAGTATGTTCGAGGACGTCAACATGCTTAATCGCATTCCACCGTGCCTGCAGATAACCGGCGCCCTAATCACTGGCCTGGAAGTGGTAGGCTGCTGTTTCTTCCGCCAGCGACCATCCGCCGACTCGGAAATGGACGAAGAGGAGGTAAAAGATGACACTCACTTCATAATTAAAAGTGGCGAAGCGCGATCGAAAAGAGAAGCAATATCTTAACCTACCAAAGATGGAATTTTTTAAAGAGCTAAAGATAAGTCTAATTAAAAGGTGATTTGGCTTTCATTATAAATGGTTATCACAAAGGGCTTATCCAAGCATCAGGATGAAATCCATAAAAATTTTATTATTTTTATTGAGCCTCGCAGTTCAGCTCCCTTATTATATTTGCAGCAGACAGAAAATTTCTATTATGCAGCTAAGAAAGTGACTGTTCAGGAAATTTTTACACATATTAATCCTTGGTGTCACCTTTAAATAAGCGGTCATTTTGTAGGCTTGTGGTCTGAGTAGTAGTGGGACGGGGTGGTAAGGCATTTTAGTGATTGTTTTAGACCGCCGTCAGTGACAACAGCAACTACCTTACTCCATCTGAAGAGTGAGTTTGTCGAATTCACCTTACAGTCGAGTTAAGACTTGCCTTTGTACCAGGCATCACTCTTCAACAAGCTTTGAGGACGGCAAATTTTTACCTCTTTTGGGCAATCATGTTTCTTTCCTACTTTCCAGTAAATATTCTCACGGCTTATATCAAGGTAAGCTTTGGCCAGGAATGCAGGCATTATCGTAGGTGTGAGGTACTTTGTTACCATTGAGTTTTGACTGTTTCCAGTGGTTTTGTAAATGCTTCACTTGATATTTGTATAATAATTACAGTTTATTTTGGTCAAAAAGACAATTAAAAAAGGTTAGAATTTGTTTTTAAGCCGATTTTTTTATTAATTCTCTTATAAAGACCGTCGCGCAGACACCAATTCCGGACGACCGATTCCTCATGGTGGTCTCCATTACTGGAGCAGTCTTCAACATAATGGGTCGCTTCTTCTGGGGTTACATCGCTGATAAAGTGTCATTCAAGGTCAGTTGCCACAATTTTTTGCCTCATCAAAGGTACACCTAGGGGAGAATTTATCTTAAGCGCGATTCTTACGCAAGCAAATGACATAAAATGTGCGAGTAAATGTAAACAAATGAAAAGTAAACGACTGTATTAGAAGGTTTTGAAGGCTAAAACCAAAAAAAATAATGCTTGTTTGCGGTCATCCAGTAAATACATTATTTTAATGAAGGAATAGTGAACTAAAACAGTGTTGATATGAGAAGACTTATTGGTTATGATTATGGCATGATTAGTAGTTGTTGTCATTCCTCTCCTGGTATGTGGATCAGGTATCCGGAGGAAATTGCATCGAGTAGACTATGAAGGTGCACCCCAAGGTTTTGTTTGAAGCCTAACTAATGTGAAACTCAAAATGACGGATCAAAACAACAAATGCCCTTTATTTTTACCTACCAATGACAACAAATTGGCCGATTTTATATTTCGGGAGGTGTACTTAACTGTAGATCCCAATGATCCTTGTTAATGCGGTTTACGCAGCGGCACTCATCAGTCTGCCCCGCATCCTCTGGCTGCCGGGCGCTGGGAGGGTGTGCTACGCCATTTGGGTGCCGCTTCTCTTCCTCTGCCTGGCGGGCAATTTTGTGCTGCTGACTTTCGGAATAACCCGGTCCATGGGCCCCAAACACGTTGCCAGCATCTACGGTGCCATCTTCTTGGCTTCGGTCAGTTGCGTTCTTGCCTCACCTGCTAGCAGAACATACAAAAAATTTTTTGGTACGCTGGTAGTTAATTAGGAAAAATTAATGGCAGTAGAATAGCAATTTGGTAAAATAGTGGCAATTGTTAGTGATAAATTTGTACATCTCTTGGCTTTACTCTAGGTACCGGCTTCTCTGCTCGGAGCCGGAATATTTTCCCAAATTGACGTGAGGAATTGCTTCAATGAAATATTTCTTGCGAACGGTATAATTGCTCTGTCTGGTAGGTCGTGCTTGCCCAATCACCCGCCCACCTTAAAGTATACCATTTTTTTGTATAAAATGTTGCACAGATTGCATTTAGGCAGCCATTCAACCGTGTTTAACTTTTAGTTTCAATCTTCGCTATTTTCCTGCGAGATGACCAAATTCCACACTGGCCGAGGTGGCTACCTTGCAATCTCGATCGTACCAAAAGTCCTCTTTTTTCACCATCCACGACTCCTACTGAGGTCTGTCTGTAGAGGAAGGACTTCCTACAATTTAAGTAAATGAAAACTGCAAAGTTTTTTTTCTTAAAAATCGGCCTTAATGGCTCTTTAACTTTGAAAATCCTGCAAAATAACACAGAGGTTAGTGGCTTCAGTTGGAAGTGGGTAATTCTTGATGTATCTTAGTATTTTCATAGACAATTTTCTATACCTGCTCCAAAATCAACAACATGGAGTGTTTCATCTTAATGGTACATTTTTGTAGGGGTAAAGCTTGTTGAATAAATAGGACTGTTGTAACAATACCTAAGGAATCGAAAACTTTTCTGCAAAATGCAATTTCGAAGCGTAAAAGTTGGGAATTAATGCACCTTCAGGAAGTTAAATAGGGGTCATGGTGACGTGTGAGTATTTTACACAAAGATACCAATTTATTCACAAAAGACGGGACCGAATTTGGGTCGAAATATTGCGGCGGGAGAATGGTAGAATGCATTCAAGCAATAAAGTACACGTTTTTAATCTGTTGACTGCGACTTATTTCTACTTTAGGTAACAATTGATGGTTGAGGCTAAAAGGAAGCCTATGTAGCTGAATTTTTTCAATGTGATGTGTACCAACTCGTCACAGTAACCGAATCTAAAGATCCACCCTCCCTTGTCCAATGTCCAAATGAGGTAGTGCTTCAATTGTCCAATCGCCTTCACACGCGTCACATCAACCCTGATTGATACAATGTGAAAAATTTTATCACGGAACTGCTCACCTAGCTACCGAACCTTGAGGCCTCTGTGTGCATTTGGGTTTGCATGCCCGCTAAAACCTTTTACAACAATGGAAGTAAGCACATTGCTTAACATACTTTGGACTTTTAAAATAATAACCTAGTGGTGGTAAAGTTCGGTGGAATGGCATTTGGCTCAAAATCACCAAAGTTTACATCACCAGTAGGCTTTGCATTAGAGGAAATAAGACTCCTATCCGTAGTGGTTTCCTATGTCACCCAAAGAGGAAAATGGGGTATTCAACAATTGATATAAAATTCGTTTCTGGATATTGTGTAAAGGTTTAAATGATTGTAAGAAGAAAGGAAGACGTCGAATTCCCTAGTCTGAAATATTTTTACTGTCCAGTAGATAACATCATTTTAGTTATTTAAAAACTGTTGACTACTTTTGTTTGCTTCAGCTGCAAAGCAATGGTAGTAGCTTACATCTAGAAATTTGTAAGATTTGCCTTTGAATCCAACACTACAGCCATTTATAGGTGGCGATGTATAAAGGATTGCTCAAATGGTTTGTAGCCATCCAATGAACGTCTCTTTAAGCTCTTGTGTAGATGGTATCGCTAAATCTGGACGCTTAGTTTAAATTTTGGAAGCGTTTACTTATTTGCATGAACGGATGTCTTGAATTTGTATTGTGAAACCAGGCTTTATTATTCGCCCGAACCCGCAGTCAAAGGAATGATCCACTGAGATAGTCTTGTGAAAGCGCCTTTTGTATTCCACCGGGCACCGATTTCCGTCAGCGGAATTGGAAAAACCCCGACAAGCGCTGCTACGCCAACTTAATTCACAGGCTTTTATAAATTACACCGCAATAGACAATCGGTGAGGAATAAATAAGATTGTCATGACAATATTTTTGATAACATAGACTGTAACTTGTCATCTCTGTGGCTGTAAGCGGTAAAAAGCACCTTTCCTAGAGATGAGTGTAAGCCACGTACAGGTAGATTTAAGTCCGCATGGGAATGTTCAGTTTTATTTTTTACTACGGGATAGGCACCTCAAATCGATCTGCAGATGTCTGGTTTGGAAAAGCACTTTGCGCTATCTTCACACTCATAGAAAGTTACCGCCTCCTCTTGACTAAAACACATTTCACCAGTTCTGCGAACAGCAAAGGCTGCGTCACATTAAATTAAAAACTTGATAAATAGAATGTGCGTTTAGTTTTTGCTGAGAACCATAAAGGATGCTTGGGTAACGGGCGAAGGTGGCCACTTCAGACAATGAGGACATCCATGTCTAACCAGCAACTGCGGCCACGTGGAGCAGGTACCCACCTGGAAGAGACCTGCCGACTTCAATTTCAACACGTAGTCGCTATCCTAAGACAATTTTTCCCACCAAAGGTGACGAGGTGCCTGATATGAAATTTAGTTAAAGGTATGTTTTACAAATTCTTGTTATAATTACTTAACATAACGATAAAGCGCAAAATAGTTATGAAAATACTTGAATTTTGACTATATTTAATTTGGCAACGTTGAATGCTAAATAGCGGTTCCACTAAGACCGTCGGAGCACGCACCACACTGTCGCGGCGACTGTTCTTTGTACGAGCGCACGCGGAAAGATCGTGAGGCGAGGACATCGCGACCACAAATGCGGGTCTGACGATTTCATTTATGGCCAAACTGCCGAAGTACGGTCACGTGTTACTCACCTGCCGCCTGTACATTAGTCAGCCATGCCTCTACATTACCTGCCTACCAACTGCACCTCGAGTCCTCATCTTTGGGGAAAGGCTTTGCCTTCTCCCCCTTGGTGGAGCATGATAAGATACAGCTTCTACTCCATTGCTGCTAGCACAATCCATCAGCTACGGGATCGAAAAAATTTAGGCAAAAGTGATGGGACACGTTTCGATAGTGAAGCATAAAAGAAATCCACCCAACTAATCGGTAAGGTACTGCTTCAGCTTAGCCAATGTTTATGTAGAGAACATTTCGTACTTAAACTTGTTTTTAAAAAAAATTCCGTCCCACAAAGGAGTTGAACAAAGATGATGTGTAAAATGTTAAATTTTGTGAGTCCTCATTTCTATCGTAACTCACAAATAACCATTTATTCTCATGTTCCTTGCCAAAGAGAGCCATTCGGCAACTATGAAATGCGGTGCCACCGCATTCGTGATCTTGTTTGTACTGCTGAACTGGTCGAATGAACCGTGCAGTCGTCTGCTTGCCATGGCTTGGGCCTTTTAGACGCACCTCTAACTGTCGCCCGTCTCGTGTTCCTACTCACGTTTGTTCGTTAAAACGTCTTGACGAGAGCTATTTACTACATCCACATTACAAACCGAAACCACTTACTTAAATCCTGTTTAATTCCGAGTGAGTGTGAAGTGGCATCTAGATAAGTTCCAATTAGTTTCACCTCCGATGCACACTTAAGCTTTTTTTTCTCTCAAGTGGCAGTCCATTGACACGCTAACTATTGAGGAATGAGTCATTTAATTCACAATTTTGGATTGAGCAGGAGGAGAATGTCAAAAGTTTTTCATGCATTAATTGAATGAGCAGTAACTATGTCCAAATTATTGAGCCCATTGTGCCAAAATCGTTTTAAGGCATCACATACGTCCAAAAAATCATTCTCTTTCACTTATGAGTAATTCACGGAAGATCAGTAAATGTGGAACACTTTAAATTAAGCCTCTTCACCGCTTGGAGATGATACGGGCTCAAAAATATCTCATTTCAGCATGTTTTCCCACCCATAGCACCTATGAAAATATTTGATCAGCCATTCACGACTTTTAAGTCTACATTTGCAGCAATTTGCTGGAATTTCAAACACTAAGAGATGAAAGACTTTAAAAAACGTGGCGATTTATTGAAACTTATGTTACTACTACCTCCTCGGGGCACGTACCCCACCTTCAGGCATCTGGAGGATAACACGAACGTAGTCTTTACACTGATAGAGCCGAAAGGGAAATGAAGCTCGTAGGAACGGAGCAGAAAATACGTTGTGCATCCATATCGGAAATAAGCCTGATCTCAAGCTATTCAATGCAATGCGGGGCATTTCAACACGTGTTGATGGTTATTTTCATGCAAATCGCACACTTTTTGTTGCACAAATAGGCTCAGCATTGTGCCAATTCAGTGACACCTTAAAATGAATGCACAGTGCCGCGTTGTGGTGAGCCCTGGTACGTAAGTCTTGACACTGTTTTCGCTGTGTGCCACGGAACACGATTTCTTAAGCCATGGATAATTTTGCGTAAATTTACAGACGACTACCCATGCCAGAATTGTGCTGCTAATATGCTGATCTGTCTTTCTGTGAGTAGATCATCCAAACGGTGCCTTGTAATAACTTACTATGCGCCTTGCGAATACTTTATCTTCATATTCTCAGGATTTGTGGTTAAGTTGTGCTTAATTTGTGCAGCAGTAATGTCTAGCTTGAATGAACCTGTAAGACCACTATCAGTGTACCCACTTTCATTCTCGTATGCAAATATACCATTTAAAAGGTTTATATGCTAACCAACCGGCAAACGAGGCAGGAGTGTTCCTCCAATTCCAGCCTTAATACAGGCAGCTATAGAATGGTCATTAACACTGACACTTAAGTATGGTGTGCTTTACATGCAGAATTAAAAACTTGACCACTGGTAGTAACATTAGGCGTTACTATTATTAGCAATAGTTTTTTATTTAACTATTTCTGTTGATCCTGCGTCTCACCTGCATCAAACCCATTTGGAAACAATTAAGGCAGAGGTAAGCAATTACAGGTGTTGGTGAGAGCAAGACCGATTGGCATAGATACTGGTGTCGAAAGAGTCCCTCGCGTAGGTTCCTGAGGCAATTTCTCTTGAGAGTTTCGCAAAGTACCATTCCTCCATCCGGTCGTAGGCCTCTGGGTGGTAGTCGGAATGAAATTTGTTGGCGAAGAGGTGCGGCACACTGCGCAGTAGCGATATGTGTGGCGTGCCGAGGATGCAGACGAAGCGGGTATACTTCGTCGGACAGGCAATTTTGTAGTCACCCCACACGACGTACTTCGCAAGGAAGCCCAAGTCTGCTTCAGATTTCGGTGGTGGAGCTATCAGACAGGCGCCTGGTAGCTTCAAATGGGGATTGTAGGCGAGAGTGGAGAAGAACAATTCATCGGGGTGATCGAAAGCTTTGTGCTCAAGAACAGCAGCACGAATGGGAGCGACGGCTGTTCCTCTCACTGCCTCATGCAAAAAATCCCTTCGAAATGCGCCGTAAATAGTGCCCTTGTACCAGGATGCCTGAAGAGTGAGCAGGAAATAGCAGTTGTTCTATTGCCTTAAGGCTCCACCATTATTTCAGGCGTTGGTTGTCTTTCATGTGCAGCTCCTTTCAGAGTTCCTTCAATTCAATTTTGCCAATCAAAAACTGAAATACTTCACCACTATTTCAACTGCATCTGTGTACGCACTTTACAGTAACATCGAATTGTCTTTCCTAATAATAAATCTGGACTAATGAAACTTTAGTGGTTTTGATTGGTAGCTGTCATTCCACTTAATAACTCCTCATCAAGTGAAAGTTACTTTTTCATTAATCAGGTAATTACTCTATGATAGGAGGAGTAGCTCTAAGATTCAACTACACAAATGTATTAAAGCCAATTAACCATAGCATGACCTTCTGATAAAGAAGCGCAACGCAAGAATAGCTAGGTAACCCGTTACAAAGTCTATCCGATTCCAACAATATAAGCAAGCATTCGAAATATTGACTTCGAGAAAAATGCCTTTGCAGTACTTAGTTTGATGAATGTGGGGTATGCATGTCAGGCCGCTGCCCGTAGAAGGGATAGCACGCACAACCCTAAGTGTCTACTTTTGCTGTTACTACTGGCAATATCTGGCGTGGATACTGTGGACTAGTCGAGACACAATAAGCCAAGATGAGAGACAATAGTGGTTGTGAGTGTGTGGGCCTAATTGCGCATTGTTAGAACGGGAGTTTCTTGCGAATGAAGTGTCCACTTCGACAGAGGACATCGGGAGCGGCGTGGTACGGTGTTGGCGAGAGCCAATGGTGTTAACGCTTCAAATATGGCCACAGGTGATTCAGTGAGGACACCGGCCATAGCGATTTCATTCTCAGTCCATAGAATGCTGATCATTCCTGCGAATGCCACGTTTAAGCCCGAATCCCTGACTCACATGAAATTGGAAACCAGGTGCAATTAGCTGTTGAAACGGTGAAGCTAATCATTCATACACTCCTTTACATTTGGTCAGTTGGAGCACAGATTTGGATAAACGATTTGACTACGAAGGCGAGGATCTTCCTTCTAAATGCGTTATTTTATTCCGTAATTAATACAAGCGTCAAAGCTGTGGAAATGTGTGCATAAGCTCTACAAACGGTGTGAATGCAGCTACAGACTGTCAAGGAATATCTGGAGCCTTTACACCTCCCAAGTGCTCCCGGCTTGACTTCAACACCTCTCGTAATTGCAGTAAGACATGCCTCAAGAGTATTGCGTGGATTAGCCTATAAAGACTCTAGTTGAAAGAATTATCTTTTTCCAGATTTTTTATGCCTGCAGGAAAATTTTACTGTCATTAAATAAAAAAGATTTCAGTGACTTCATGGTCTGACCCATCAAAGCATCAGTGACATCAACACCAGGTTTCAATCCATCAGTCAAGTCAATTGTCAAATTGTTCAAATCTCATTTTAGATAATTATCTTCACGTTACTGAGCAATACGTTCTAAATTAACTGTCAATCGCATCAACAGCACAAATTTACTTCAAGATCTTCTACCTGACAGAGATTTATAAAATTAGAAAATGGCAAAATTTGAGTGAAATTGCGATTAAGCACCTAATTACCACACTGTTGCTCGGTTTTTCCAATTTTCGTCCATAACTCTCCCCTATTACAGGACATCCAAAGTTGCCTCCCACTGCTGCACTGTTGAGGATCACTTTCGTTCGAATGCTGTTTAGATGAACTAATGGGTGTTTACGTAAATGGAGATTACGACAATGAAGCAATAAAGCCTCCTTGTAATGCAAAAGTCCTCAAATATCTAGACAATGCGGTCCCATTAATAATTAGCCCTCTTTTCCCAAATTACACAAGTAACGGCCACAACATTTTGCCGTTCTATGACGGGAAAGAGAATGGACAAAATTATTCTTCTTCTTAAATTTGGTGCCGCCTGTTCCACCTGCTTCATGAATGTTATAGCTGCCACTTTCCATGCATTCTTCTCAGTTGAGCAAACAATACTCCCTAAGACAAACGCATATGGAATGCGAATTGAAGTGGCGTGAATAAAGTAATAATGACTTTGAACTTACGTTGAGTGGTAGTGTTCTATTTTTTACCCAACTTTGGAACCTCTTAATCGGAGCTGCCTCAACAAGGTTCGACCCATTAAGAGCCTTTAGAGCTGCCACCAATTCGAGATTGGTTTTTAGAGGAAACTCCTGACCCGCAATGTTGACAAGGTAACCCCAATTGTTATCATTTTGTAGCGCCTGTTCAGCACAGATTAACTGCGGCCTCAGGACCGACTCGTCGCCCCAATTTACTGCCACCCGTTTTTCCACTGGCACCAGTTCAACATTTGGTCCAAAACACGTCGCAATACCCTCCATTGCCTTTTGGAAGGACTGAGGCGAGCGAGAGTCCAAATGGACACAATAGTAGTTGTTTACTCGGTAGATCATGCGCATCAACCGAGCGATCTGATACACGTCCTTATGCACCACCATCGTGAATGCAACATTCATGTCACCATCGGGTTGAGTGACCGTGGGAAAGCGTCGACGGAATGCAAGACAGTGGGGATGATTGGGTGATGTAATCAAAGCAAAGAAATCTGGCTGTTTTTCGTCCAAGATAGTGCCAACGTTTTTGACGGGGAATAAACGTGACTCCAGGGGCTCTATGTTCTCCGGTGATTGAGGCCTCAGGAGTAAGATCAACCCACCAAAAAGAATGATCGCTAGGCAGATTTTACTGCCTCTACTTCTTGGCACACGAATCATTTGGCTGAAAAATGGGAGGAAAAGGCTACACACTTATTGGTGTAAAGTATCATCGTATTTGCTGTCATTTCGCATGATTCACCTAAGGAATTTCATAGGCAAATGTCAAAAGCAATTCAACACATAAACGGCAAAAGTCGACATCGTTGAATGCGTTAGGCGTGTGAAGCCAATTTCGTATTGAGCTTCGAGACGGTGTGCCTCAGGGAGGCAAATACTTGAGAGTGAAAGACGGCAGTCCATATCTAGGTTGAAAACAACATTGATTGTCATGTATTGCAGCTGCCAGCCTCCGTGTTGACAGCATCAGCCAGGTATTGAGTGACATAGGAGTTAGGATGTACCTTGATCAGATCATGCCGAGACTGTGCCTGGAGGAGATTGTTTATCCCAGTCCTCATCGAAGTCGAAGTGGCATTTACAGTATGTGTTACCCCTTCCAACCGAGAAGGTTACTACCTACACCGTGAATGCCCCAAGCAGTGCGATTTGAGACTCATTTATAACTGGGCTTTCACTTTGTCACTTTGCAAATTTTGTCTCATGGTGGCGACCGATGACGCGTGTGACACGGTCACTTTGATGGTCGATGCCAAGGCCGCGCGATACAGCACCGTGGCAGGCGTGAAACACTATGTTGACAGTCTTGTTTTTCAACAATCGTCTGTCCTCCTGTGCAATTGTTGCATTCAAATAAGTAACCAACTCGTATTCCGTTCAAGATTTATCTCTCACAAGTGGTCTTTTGAAATGATAAGGCTGGCATTTATGTCATGCTAATTCAGCCCAAAGATGTTTCACTTTCCCTCGGATTTCACTAAACTTTTAAGCCACTCTTCCAACTTTCGTACTTGGCATCATCTTTTACTTTGTTTGGCATGCACGCCTCCCTGCATAAATGCATGATCTACCATACAGCAACATGTGGGGGTCGTGCCACAACACTGAATCTGCAAACAGCCTCCAAACATTTGCACGAAATCAACTGCCTTGCAAAAAGTTTTTGTTCACATTACTGATACTTCATTCAAGTGTTTGCATATAGTGGCTTGCAATGATCGGTTTACTCAGCAAGAAATTTACTACTTTATAGCGCAAAACATCACACTTACCTTGGTGCGGACCAATTCATATGACGACTAGGTTGCGTCGTCTACCTTCATATGCACACGCACACACGCACACATCTCGTGCTCAAGGTGTTGTGACGATTGGCTAGTCAGGAGCTCTTGTGAATCGGCGGGCCTTCGCTGCTGACACACCACGTTTGCAGCACGCCCTTTGACGATATCGTCAAATCAAATGCCAGTATTTCATTTTACTGTACTGTCATGAGTATGTTCATCGTATGGGCTGGAAAAAAGTTGCTTTTGATATCGCGACTACCGATTGGAAATATTCGGGAAGCTCATTGTTTCACGCATTATTTTCGAGAACTCCATGAAGCCGAGTCATAAACGAACAGACTGATCGTGCACCAGAGTACGATGTGGAATTGGAGAAATTACACCACCAGTGTGATTGGAATGGTAAAGTGAACTTTTTAATGTTTCAATTTACACGATGCGAACTTGCATTAAGTGTAACCGGTGGCAATTCGTAGTTGTTAAAGAGGCACCAGACCCACAATTCAGAATTTTGCTCACAAAGCTATGGCAGGCTCTTGAGAATGTTTGGGTTTGTGTGGAACAAGTATTCAGAATGGTTTGTCACATTGCTAGCACTGTTTGCCAGCTTTCGGCACAGTCTGCTGCAGTTGCTTGCCTTCACTTGTAAGACGTTGTAAAATGTATGTCTGTTTATCTGATTGCCACGTGGAACACAGATATGCCCACTTGTCTATCAAATGCACCACTATTGTGATTCCTAATGTGATTCGAGCTTTGCCTTGTTACCAAAGGCTGCAAAACATGTGGCAAAAGTTGTGTATTGTCGGAGGAGGGCACGGCAGCAGAATCCACATCCCATGGATGCCTTAAACAGGTTCATTCCATGACGTATTATGTCACTATTGACTCAATAACACGGAATTGTGGTATGGAGAACGTTGGGCAGCGCTTCATCTGCTAGACGAGTCGATTCGCCCACACCTGAAGGTAAATGGAACCTACGCGCATAAGCAGACAAAACTACCCTCCAGTGACAAATACCTTGATCCTCTCATCGTCTTATGTAATCGTGACATCCTTAGATTATTTACGGACTGAATGAATGATCCGAGATGAGAGATCTCCTTTTTTGTTTTAACATTAGCCTAGCGAACATTTGATTGGCTATCTTCAAACACTCCACTCACTAACCATCCCACACTTCTGGTGCGCATGCCACTTCGTTCCCGAAAGATTGTGCTTGCTTTATGTGCGGTTGTGACGGTATTAAGGGGAATTGCTTGTTGAATGGTTTTTTGAACACTAGATAATAATTGGGGATGAGCTCTATCTACTCCGGTGGGATGAGGAGCGATTGTGCAGCATCCTCTGTTTTGTCTCAATGGTACTTCTCCAAGTGGTGTTTGTCGCCTCTTTTCGGCACTAGAAAGGTATTTGAAAGTAAACAAGTTAGAAACAGAAGTGATTGTAGCCAAAGATTGGTGATTTTAAGAGGAGAATTTACGATTACATTCCTCCTTGTGGAAGAAGTCTTAAGAAGCTTTTTGCGATTCTTCAGTTTCACTTATAACTACTAAATGTGTATACTTGGTTGCTCCATTGTTTTGACTGTTCACATTTTATTAATAATACAGTCCAAGCAGATGCGTTCCTTTGTTCTACGGTCAAATTTCTGTTCTAACACAACGATTGTGCTCCGAGCTTCTCCGCTGTAAGGTTTGTTTATGGTAGTGAATTCGCCACATCTACTGAGAGAACGGCTCAATATTCTACCAAACTTATTACCACCAATTCTTTTTCTAGAGTTAATTCTACTTTCTTTTCGTGCAAAGGTTTTACAATTTCCCCTCTTTAGTGGATCTTAGGGTCGGGTTAATATTTTGACCATTGGAAGTTAAAAGGGAGCGTCGGTGGTCAGGCATTGCAAAAACGTCTCCATACGGCTTCTGCCATCTCCACCTGCTGATGTATTCCCATTCCATAGTGTGAATTTCCTCAATAATAAAACTTTACTAATGTCGTAGGAAATCTGTTGTGCGGTGCTTAAAAACATTCCAAGTGTGTGCTGCCGACTGGCATGTCAAGCATTCGTGGCGTAGTGTGGCCTCCATTAACCCTTGATCTACATACCTCTATAACCGTGGGCTTTATTTGCCTTAGTTGTTTTTTTTGTAACAAAATCTACGAAAACTTGTGCAAAACATGGTGATTTGAGTTTAATCTTTCCTTAGTCGAAATAAAAAACTCCGTCTATTCACTACAACGATGTTAAATAGGCCTGTAACACTCAAATTTGGCAGTGATTTTGCAGAACTTTTCCAGTCTTTTATGCAATTCACAATTTCATTTCCGACATTCCAGAAGTCAATTTCCAATTTTCTTTCTTAGTTATTTCACAATAGGGTGGTGTTTGTATCCAGTCTTCTGTCATTTATGCCTCCCTCATCTCACTCGTTGAGTGCCTCGCCAGTGCGGTGGTACTGCTGGGTGTTTTCTTTTGCCACCCCTTATAACCCTGGCAAGGGTATCACAGTATTGAGACGCCCTTCACCCACGCATTCCCTTTGGTGGAGCTTGTCAACAGAGGTCAAAGTTGTCGGTTTTTTTGACATGTCAAAGCTGCCTTTCATACTAATACTGCTGCAGCATGTTCTCTTGTAAAATCAGTGGTGAAATTTCGATAATACATTGCAACCTGTGAGCACACCTTTGCCTGAAGTTTATTTCACTTACTCTACAGTGATTCCGAGTTACAAAGAGGCCCGTACCGAGACCTCTCTCGCATCCGCACTCCAAAATAGATGCATTCCGACTACCAGCCAAAATTTGCGGTCTTCTTTGGTCCACTGAGCTGTTAAAAGATTCCTCGTTTTAGCTACTCAGTATTTTACATTCTCACACAAAAGGTTAATGTCTTCAGTGCCTAAAGCTTTTCATCTCAGTGATTTATCTGATAACGTTCGTGTGAAATGATTCAAAATAGTCATGTAAACCCAATGATTTGGCAGTTTAATTTACTCTTTTATCCGCAGCCCAAGTATTCCTTACCGCACTTTACTTTGCAATTCAAGCAACAAACTTGGCATTCTGCGCCGTCTGATATGCTTGCCCACTGCAGTTGGATTTTGCTGCAACATACGGCAACGCAATTAAATTCACAGCAATTCACAGCATTTCGGTAGCGTTTTATTCATATACTTCTTTAGTTCGTAGTATGGCATGTAGGCGAAAATACTTTATAATGTTGTTTTAGTCCATTAACTGCAGTACATCATGAGCTTGGTATGTTTTCTATCACTGTTCCAACGCGTATGTGTGTGTATGCATCCGAATGTTTACTGGGCCAAATAGTCCTTTTCTTATAGCGAATTCGGTCTCTTATGAAGTTGGGTGCAAATGATATTTTCCAATTAGTCAATTGGATGGACTTCGTAGGGCCAGTACCTCCTCTTCTGCGGCACCTCACCATAGAAGCCTTGAGAGTAGTACTCGTCGCTCTCTTGCAGTCGCGGACTGCTCCGTCGACGACCACCGAGGCAGATTAGCTCGCATTCCCTACGGGTCTTGAAACTGTTCAGCTTCGAATTGCACGAGCTCCATCCACTCCAGATGCACCGATCAAGGAGGTGATTGTAGACATAGTTTGGACGGTAGTACCAGCAGTTTGCAGTCTGTAGCTGCGGTCTACATAGTGGCGGAACCTCTACAAATAAATCGCATCACAGGCTTAACTACCTCTTCTTATATTAGCACCTGCAGAACTAATTAGTCATCTGTTTTGAAATGACCGAAACGTAGTGTTTTTAATGCATTTGATTTTTACAAGGCCCCATGCTATCACACAGGTGTACTAGCACACTCGTTCCACAGTTTAATGCAAAGGTTAATCTCTCTTGGTTCGACGCGTCAAATGGTGTAGCACTACTAAACTCGGAAATGCCCCATTTGAAAGGGTATTGGAATTTTGAGCAAATGCCCGGTTCCCTGCCTGCTACAAACGGTGGTTTTCTTCCGCTTCTTCATTTCTAAGGGTTTATTGACAGCACTTTGTAAAAATGAAGCATATGAACTGGAACACTATGTCCCAAAGTACTGTGAAATATCAACAATATTTAACCGATTCAATACCGACACTGTACGATTTACTATTTTTATGCTATCTTAAAATGAAAAAGAGCTATTTCATATTTGATAAAGCGTTAACTTTCTACCTCATTAAGCCATTTTAAATTTGTCCATAACCAAGTACTTGAATATTTTTGTTATTATCAGACATTGGGAGAAGGCTGTTCAACTTGTCTTCAGAAGATCAAAATAAAGTTGCCAAATAATTAAGGATGAATGACTTGAATTTACCACAAATAATATGAAAATTTAACACAGAAGGTTTAATAGGGGGTTTTTTAAAAATACGTTTGCAACTACTCACCAAAATTGTTAAAAGAAAATGCAAAACCAATGAAGAGAAGACAGAGAAGCCAATGACTCATTTGGACAGGCATGTTTCGTGCATGGAAAAACTGGTCCAGCCTCGGAGGAAAGTCGCCTTTTATTGTATCGCACCCAACCAATCAGTGGAGAGGTGAAGACACCGCGCCCGCCGTCCATCTCAGGTCACATGACACTGTTTACACAGACTGCGTGCTGTTTTGGCCTTCATTTTTCTCCTCCAACCCCTTGTCCTTTTAATCTATGTAAATAAATCTATTTTGCCGTCTGCACATGAAACTTAATAGATGATTTCAGAACCCAAAATTTGCATAAACTTTGACAGCTAACAGGAAAATCGCAAATACCCAACCATTTGGATTAGTTCCAACCGATTACACCAAAAGGTGTCGTTTGTTTTACTCCCAATTTAACAACGGCATTCTGTAGGGAGGGCATTCATAAATGTTAGCACTGTGAAGACGCTTGAGCAGCATTTACAGTGATAAATGAAGGGATGATTGCGCAATAATTCGGGCAAAATCCTCCCTTCACTTCGGATGCGTGTGGTAGTAGAAAGTGAATATTTGAAGTGAGCGAATTAACTGCAGCAAACATCCTGTTCCTGCGAGCAGATGTTTCAGTGCGGTCAAATGGGTTACATTTGAGGCACTTTGAACTGGGCTGTGCGCACTGGACAATTTCAAAACACGGTTTCCTCATCTCTTTAAGGCTTCCGAGGCCTTACCTCTCTTCGTCGCCAGCCCATTTCGTCTCTTTTACAGTCCTGTTTTTTAATGATGCTCAACCTCGGCCTGAGTGCTTTCTTTCATTAACACTATAACAAATATTTCCAGACTGGCGACTGATTTCCAGGAAATCAAGCCGCTTATCCTCCACATTTGGGATTACATTACATTACATTAGCATATGTAAGGTGGAGATACCATATCCATCGGTAATAAGTTGCTTTATAAGTGTGGTTTATCTATGCAATAATTTTGACTGAAGACTGCAATTTTTTGATGCCATCCCCTGGTATCTGTTGCCTAGAGGGTAATTTGGCAATGACACTGCTGCTGTGTGACCTTTACAGTTTATTTGAGGAGCTTTTGCGTGAGCCGATTTAAAAGCCGAGTTAATATTTGGGTGGATTCCTTGGAACTAAAGCAAGCACTAAAAATGTCATAAAACTTGACGATAACTTCCTTTGTTCGTGACCAAAGATTGCTATTCCAACAAATGTGGTTCCTCACAACTTCAACTATCACAGTAAAGCGTAATGGAAGTACTTAGCGCCATCACTTCACAATTATGAAACTCACGAGACCCTAAACTACGATCCCTATTTTATTTCCCCATTTCAGAGGGGTCACCGATTTATTTGAACTTTTACATGCGATTGAATCGCGGAAGCCTCCACTGATTTTACAGCTCCTTAAAAGTTCAGTTTGCGCTTCAAAAGGACTTTTTAATAATCTTGTCGGAGGTTAATGAATGCTCGTCAGGTGCGCATTTCTGATCACTGCCGGAGGTTAAACACTGACAGCGCACGTTGTAGCCCTTCTTATTTTTTTATGAGCTCCGCAATCATGCTGGTTTGTGTTTATTCAACCTCAAATGGAATGTGTAAATAATGCTAAAGGGCAAATCACTTTTACCTAATCAGTCAACAAGGTGGTAGCCCGTGGCTAGCCCAAGACACGAGATATGTGATACCACGCTAAATTGTTTAGTCTGTGCACCTCTTTGTATCTGTTCCAGACAGTACTAAGAAGGAAGTTAAGGCGCCTTACTACTCCTAATAAACCAAACTACCCAACTATTTAATAATATTTCAGAGTATTGCATTATGATTAGTTCAAATGTGTGCAAAAGTGCCTAATTGTTAATCAAGCATTTTAACTCAACGATGTCCCAAATCATTGGCTTGTCGGTAGCTCGTACATAAGTTCTGTCACTGGTAAAAACCAGGGTTTTTTTGTTTTGCAGTTTTTTTCCAGTGAAACAGTTTAATGTCTTTCGCAATAATACTCTAGTGTTTTTAGTTAGAAAAATCTAGGTGTTTTTGAATTGACGACGATTCTGGAGATTGCGTTGAATGGATACGTGCATAAGTTTATTTTTTAGCGAAATAGCAATTAATAGATTCAATTTATTTTTAGATAGTACACTTGCTGACATGCAGTTTGGACCGAAGACCGGAGCAACTAGACATCTAATTGGTGATTATTGCAAAAAATTTCCTCCAAAACCCTACCAAATATGTCAGACTCTTTAAACCACGTCCCTCTTTGATATATTTTGTCAAATTACTTACTTATTGCATACTATGTAAATTTAAACCACCTGTGTTATGCACGGTATGACATCTATGGCATAAGTACCAAGAAGGACATCAACTACTTCCAGCGTCTGTTTCCCTTGCCAAAGTTAAACCATCGGTGTTTGAAGCAGGCAGAGAATGTGGGGCACCACGTGCTCGTCCATCATTGATGTATGGTTGAAGGAAGCAGCGGACACAACTAATTCCCCTTTTTTTTATCTCTTCGTTGTGCGCCTGTCAAATTCCTAAAACGAGGGTTTACTACCTTCTACTTGTTCTATCCCCATACCTTCTCATCAATTTTGGATACCTTTAAGCAATAGCTACGACTTGATTCACCACTTAGTCAAACTGGCTTCGTAAAATTTGGCAGCTTTAGGAGTGACCCAAAAGGTGCCTGTCGAAAAATTTACCTAAAATTTTCGTGCATAAAAGACTGAAGACTTATAGAAGCACACCTTGCACTTGGCGTCAAAGCACGAAGAAGTCGGGCGTTCATTTTCGGCCAAGTGAATAAAAAATCAGCCAAGGTGTATATTTAGGCTCAAGGTTGACACATCCGCTCCAACAGTCACGTATCGAAATAAAATTTGGTCTTATATATCTTTCCTTCCTTTGTAATCTTTCCCTAAAGAATGGAAGTTAGGGAAGTTGTAAACAAAATTGATGATCGCTTGGTGTACTTGCTTGGCATTTATCAAAATGCAAAAAATACACTTATCGGCAGTGCTAGGTGAAATGATTTGGGAAGAATCCCTCCTTCCATAGGTCCAGTATTTAGTTATGAACGATATTAATTCGTCAATTCACATTTAGTTACTTGGGAAAAGTCTTTATTCGATTGCGTTTTGCAGAATTTTTTGTCTTCAGTTACTTGACAGATGGGGTACACTTCCTCCCCAGCAAATGTTTCGGACGTTCGCAGACCATGCGTGACAACTGCTGGTCGTGTGTCATCCAGAAGGGGAGGTGGTGTCGCAACGCCACATCTCATGTGACACGCATCTCAATTTGATCTCGCCATCGATGTGACCTCACTTGTGGGGGTGGTGGCATTAAAACCTTTTAGTAAATTGTAAAATGAAATAAAAGCGGATCTGCAGTACTAATGTATCCATCTGTGAGTCTGCGAAAGTTTTTTTTCGTTTTCAGAGAATCATTTACAGTGCAGTCTGTGCACCGTTAAAGTGAAAGAGCAGGGTCCTCAAACCACAATCCAAACTTGATCACACTTAGCATGATGTGCTCTCGTAAGAGAACACGCAATAATTTCACACTCTTGGATAATCACTGCTAGTCTCAAAATTGATAAAACTGTGAAACGAAGTGACTACTGCACTATCTGAATGACGAGCTCTAAAATGACTTACTTAATTCCTTAGGTTCCAATAGAGGCTCCTCAGTTCAGTGAAAATATTTTAAAGGCTTACAACTGATTCTTTCTGGGATATTTGGACTTGTTAATTTTGTAGTAGTTTCACGTGCATTTAAAATAGAAAAAAAAGTCCTTATCTTTGCAGCAGTTGAAAAACTCCAATCATCACACCAATTCCCTCTTGCACCATGAAAAATCCAACACTTTAACAGGCATTTCGTAAGCCATTTGCCATGGTCAAGGGTTTTGCAACATTAGAAATGCAGTTAGCATAGAGACTTAGCAAAACTAAAAATGACCCTGTTGACTTTCCCAGGCTCTATGTCAAGCAGAATTGACCTTCAAAAGCCATCCTTCTTGCCACACTTACCATAAAAATGAGTCTTAATAGGAGTGTAGGGTGACCTTACGTTTTAATCCATTTATGGAGTTAGGTTTTGCATCCATTCTAGGCTCTACTTTACAGAACAATTCTTAAACAGGTGCTCTAATGCAGAATATTAGTTCCCATAGCTCTTTCGTTTGTCTACAAACCATGACATGCTGGCACATGCCAGTTTTTATTTCGATACATATATTAGTAGCCTTTATCTATCCAAGCCAGTGTACCAACATGTGCTTTGTGAATGACAGCTAATTTTTTTCTTTGCCTTTTCTGATCCACATTCATTTCAACTTTGGTGTTCAGGTATGAATTCTGAATCTTTCAGTTTTCGCACACCACTAATGCAATGTCCTGTGTCTCACATGGCAAATATTCCATTAAAGAAACTTCAAAACAAACTGTCGTAGGAGTGTTTGTTTCTTCAGAGGAATCTGCATATTTTGTTGGTTCCGCTTTTAATTTGAGCTAATTAAATTGATGTTTTAACCTGCACTGCATATCGTCCTTCATTGACTTCCTCACATTTACAAGGGGATAGCTTACACCAGCTCAGAAATAGGTGAACCACAAAGACCAATATTTATTTAAACCTCAGATAACATCTTTTCATGCATTCCTTGTAGGTGAAGAAGTTATTTCTGTTGCCGCGACATCCACCATAAACGAACCGACGGCATTCATCCGTTTCGGAATCATAGCCATATCGCAGAAAGTAGCCTCGACATCGACCAGAACTAATCGGTAGGTTGCATCGGTTGATGTAACTAATTTTTCCTGTGGAAAGTAATTACCAGCATTGTTAGCGCATTCTGTATGAAAATATACTACTAATATTTAGTAAGTAACAAAATCTTAAGCTCATAAAATAGCCTGCGTAAGAAGTCGATAGAAAAGTAATTTTTTTATTGTACTTTAGCCTTATGAAGGTTGAAAAGGATTTACGAGCCCACCTCGACAGTAGCCTAGATTGAGCATAGAGGCCACAAAGAATGCAAGGAAAATGATGCTCACTGACGCATGGAGTGTGCGAAACATGATCGCGAGGTCGAGTTACAGTGGGAGCCAGCAACAACGCCCCTTCTTATACCCGCGTCTTAGAGCACTTCCGGCTATCGGAAGTGCCATTTTAACCAATTTGTAAGTTTTTGTGGGCGGTGTCTATTTTAAGTTGACGATTTAATCGTTTGCACCATTAAGGAAGCCTAGTTGTGAAGGTTTGCAAGCTTAAGCTTCGCATTGTTGGCACAACGAACTCTGATTTTCCTAGTAGCAATTAAAATATGCTTTCAAATGCACGCTAGTAATAGGAAACATATACTTGCGTCCAATATTTGTTAAAATGCAATAAATTTCCTGTGCTCTTTGAAAATGCGAATTAAGTCCCAAGGCGTCTAATTAGATATAGAACAAAGTCTCCTGCGTACAAAGGACTTGTGTAACTCTTAGATCTAATTGTCTCATCTACAGTCAGAAACTCTTAAGTTTCGAATATTATTATCCTTATTAATAATAATTTGGATTCAAGTTTATGTTATTGGGTGTTTACAATTGAATCAGTGTTCTCAGATGAGTAGTTCCAATTAAAACCCTTTAAAGTGCGTTTTTATGAGCGCCAAATAAATAAATCTTCTCTTAAACTCACCTTTTGCGCATAAAAATGTGTAAATTTCAGCGGTACATCCAAGGTTAGTAAGCATGATTGGCAAAACATATGGCTACTAAGAATTTTTTTCTTTCTACCATGTGGAATGAGGCTTTGATTTAACAGCAACCAAACTAAAAAAACACAATTGCAGTATTTGTCCCTAAAATTTTGAATGTTTTAGGCACACTTATCAGCTTTCATTCCCGGCATTTAATAGGCAGTTTGCGTTGTTTCACTTAACTTAGCAGGTATCATGTAAAGCAAATCGGCGGCTTCGGTTCCGCTAAGTGACTGCTCAGCTTACTCTCCATTTTCCCACTCATTTGATCCATCGGAACAGCTTGAGAGTGCCCATTTGTGTCCACTTTGTCATTCGATGGTGCAGAACCCACTGAAAACAAAAATAATGGGTACGCTTAAAGTAGATGGGGTGAAAATGTTGTCTTAAGATCGTTCGACGTAAGTTGATAATACATTAAGCAGTGAATTTCACATTGTACTTACTTCCTCCATGAGCAGATTCTACTCAGTAAATAATAATTCGTTTATGTATTTTTTTTTGTCTTGGGAAAATGATATATAAGCATTTAAAATACCTTCTACTGTGAATGCCTTTTGGTATTTCTTCAGAGCTTGATTGAAGTGGTTCGTTGAAAGCTAGGGGCATAATGGGAACTCCCTGTGAGGTGATGAGCCTTTTCTTATGACAAAGTCACTCTTAAGTTGACTTGCAGTACGATTCCACTTGGTTTGCCTCCCTCTTCTGCTGCCTTTTATCTAGTACCGATGTGAATTTCCCATATCTTGTATGCTTATCACATTGGAAGGACAATTATCCTTTGCAATCCCTGTCCCATACCCGAAGCTGTGATCACTTTTCAGCGTTTAATCATCTACAGGCCTGATTCTACATAATGGGTACGCGTAATACGCAATTTGAATGTTGTCAGGGGAGGCGTAAGCTTACATTATTTGCTGGTCAACTTACATACGTGAATTGTGGCAATGTAGTGCTATTTCACTTGTTTCTATTGCACTTCCTGCCTCACGAATTTTCACAGTTTCTACGCTAGCGACACAAAACCGCTTATTTTGTGAGTTTATGAAAAAGCTACTTTCCTGCTTGCATGCCTTACTGCAGCACGTCGGATGTTTAACTCTCGATTTTGGTGAAGGGGCCACTTAGGTGACCTGCCACTGTGCCTTAGTAGGGTGAACTAGCCTTCGGGCCATGCCCGTAGCCTCTCAGCCCTTCACAATGTCATATCAATGCGTTCTGCCAGGGTATGATTAATTCCTTCTTCTTTGGGGAAGTCTCGGGAAGTTACACTTGCAAGGCCTGTGGAAAGAGTAGAAGTACATAATCCAAGACCCATAAATTACCTGAATATAAATGTGTCAAAGTAATAAATTTAGGGACATTTAAGATTGACTTAATTTAATCTTAATAGATTGAAGCAAATGTTCCATTCGTTTGCTCATATAAATGGGTCTTGATTTACAAATTTAACGATATAGCACTTAAAGAAGTGCCTTAATTATCCGGATATTTTGGGAATTCATAGTTCGCTATAGTCGTGGATAGTAAAAAGAACAGTGGCGAAGTATTCGGTCTATTCCAGTCCCATTTTTCCTCAAATGAAGTGATAAAAAGTAGCAATAAGTGCAGTGTAAACGTGACGATAAGGGACACACACATGTGGGGTTGATTTGCGTCTGAAGTGGCCATAAGAATCTACTTAGTGTTATGTTCTTCCCAAAAGGACGTTAGTGTGGCCATATGGCTGTATAATTGACTCATTTCCTTTCCTTTTTAATAACATCAGGGGTATATTTAAAACTTAGGATAAGTGAAGAAGCAGTGAAAACATCGCGAATAAAACTAATAATAAACGCTCTTTGTAACATTTATCATTGAAAAATAACTTCTGTATCCCACAGCATTATGGTCATAAGAGCTAAAGGTATAGTTGTCCTTAATTCACTTCTACTAACAGTCCACTATACCAAGTGTACAATTTTGGCAGGATTAAAATCTGAGCTCAAGCGCTACGCACTCGCAGAGGCATCTACGTGCCATAATCCAGGAGCTTTAAAAACAATAAACATTTGAAGCCATTAGTCATGCACAAAAAACAAATAAGAAATCGCTTAAATAACTAATACCTTTTGCGCTTTTATGGTCAAAAAGCACCACCACCTTGTTTACATAGCAGTGCGCATTTGTACAAACATGCTTTATGAGAAGTAGGTGGGCGGGTCGAACTTCAATAACGACTGGACGAAAGCATTTAATCCCCTGGAGGGCAAAAAACCCACTTTTCTGTAAGACTTTTAACATCCACGCAGTTTTCATTTTAGTGACATTACATTACACCAAATATTCAAACCCATGTACGGATGGAGCAAAGGGCCTAATCTAATTACACACCCCAGGTTTCAAAATAGATTTGGAAGTTTACGCAAAATTTTCTTTCATGGACTAGAATTTCTAGCATACTTATAGTCCGGACGCAAAACAAAAAACAAACTGTTAAAGCAAAGCAAATATTTTCACATTTTGTAGAACAAGAAGTATAGGATATTCAACCTCCAAAACGAGTATCATGGTTCTCACCATAGGCCTAGAACAACCGATCTCTTAAATCAGTTTAATGTCGAAACAAAAGAATAATACTTTTATTAATGAAGACTTTTACAAATTTTCGGAGCATATAATTCATCATTTTAGCTTGGGCAATACCAAAAAACCAGAAGAATCATTATAGACATAAATGACGCCAGTAATTGGTTTATCAAAAATCCTAAATTAACAAATCAAATAAATGCGCACACTATGCATTTCGTTTTAATCACTAATTTGCTCCCAGCACACTTTGAAGATGCTGCAACGGTGCTTGTGGGTGTTGGTGCCCTTAACTTTTGCCATTTGCGTAGAGGCAATTTATGAAGATGCAAGATGTAAATGTGTTTGCGTTGATCATTCCGTTCCAAAAATCTCGAATGAGTCCTCAGCAGAACCGAAACGATCAGTCTACGTCAAATCAATTTCGTCTGATAAATGGTATACTCTCTCATCTCTAATGAATTTTAGTACCTGTCCCATAATGTTGGAAAATAAGTCTGATCTGTGTCCCTATTGTGATTGTAAGTATCAAGTTCGGAACACTACAACCATCAAGGTATGTGCTGTCTACTTCTAACTCTTGTAGGTTGTTGTAATAATGATTGTTGTCATGCTATCGACCCTCTCAATTTACCTTGTGTTTATGCTCATTTTGGAACCTTTTCTCGCATCACGTGGTCGCAAAAACTTACTGGATTCTGCTCAATCAAATTTATTTGTACCACCCAAAACCATACGCACATTTCGCAGCTACGTGATACCGTCTCAAAGAAATAACGACTATGATGACCTTAGTGAGCGATTTCCTTAGTTTTGCCCAACAAACTGTGTTTTTCCTAAGGATATTTCTTTTGCACGGCTACAAGTCTTACTTTGTCGTCCATGAAAAATCTCAAAATCGTTGGCAATCCTTTTACCATCATATTTGGTATTCTCTAGCCGCGACAGAAGCCAGTGGCGAGGAGGCTTCCGGATCCAGAAGTACAGTGGGACGGAGAGGAGTCAGCACAGTGGTTGGCCGGGCCCGCGAGCATCAGTCACGTTGGAAGGGCCGTATTGAGGCCCAGCGCGACCGCGTCTTTAATGAACGCACCATCCTTAACTGAATTTCCTTATTTCTCCCCTTCCTCCTTGATTTGGTCATTATTGTTGATTTTACTAATTTTATGAATACATTGTTTCATCAGTCGTCCCTGTTAGTTTCGTTAGCATTTGTTGGAGCATGCAGGATCACCTCACTATAATTCCTCAAAGTAAGCAGGGTTGGGGTTTTCACCTCGAACTCCAGACTTGTCATCGGTCTGTATCGAATGCAATCGTCCTAGACGGAGGTCCAGGAGTATAAACTCGCGCTAACCGTGTTTGGCCGTTCTGACCCTTTTCGGTACTTCTCGATTTGGGCGTGTACTGCTGTCGTGATTCAAGGTTGAAGACGACAGATCAGTTCCTAAGGTACAAGCTCAGGACTTGAGAGGCATCTCGGGGCTGTCACATTCGGATAAGGGCGCCGCTGTGCTTACTCACCCAAACCGGAAGCGCGTTCCATTGTTCAGACAGGGTACGCAGCTCAACAAATCGGCTACCCTTACGCAGTGTAGTCACAACTTTACAAACGACCAACGAATAGGGAAACCTCAGTAACGTCTCAGCTACTTGGACAGGACGACCTCTAACTGTCACATAGAAGGCACGACGGGATCACACCACAAGAACTCAGCGAAAACCAATCTCCTGTAAATAAAAAACTGACTACCGTTAAATGAGAACAGCGATGTGCAAAGACTCGTGAGGCAGACTGACGTGAATTTGCCCTGCTGATTTCTGCCGCGCAGACGGCAACCACGAAGTAACAAACTTTCAAAATAGTGGCATCAAAAAAATCTGGAGCGGCACATCTATTCGCACCGACGAAAAACAAAGCATACACCAGCTAAGAGTTCCGCAACGCCGGGACGCAACGCGTCCGACAGCCCCCAAATGTTGAAGGCGTAGTAAAAGTTACAAACCATCGGCCGACATCCAATGCCAAAATGCATATGCTACGAGCCAATATCGACCCACACGAGAACGACTACCACACCCTACGGCTCAGACCCAGCAAGAACGTAGAGTAGACAAGCATAAAACATCGTGAACAGACCTTGACTATGGGTAAATCGTTCAGGGCGCAGGTGAGAGCAAAGAAGTGTGCAAACAATACCCAAGCATTAAAGACTAAGGGGCCTGTCCGGCTAGCGATTACCATGTTAAAGCAATAATGACAGGACAAACTACTCGGGATGTTAAGAAGGGAAAACTCAGTAACGCAGTAACACCACAAATTACCGAGAGCGATAAGACGGCACCCGTCTCAGAAGGTATATTATAAAAATACTTCATGCCTTAAGAGTTTCACGAAGACGACGAATAGCGGCACGGGTGGTGGCTGCAGCTGTCGTACTGCAAACATAAGCTCCACCGGCGATCTGCTTTCCACAGCGCTTGCATGCCCAAATACCAGCAGCTTTACGCCTTAACGCCTCCTAACGATATAGTAGCTTAAACAAGAAACACTACCTTCCCACAAAAATTGCAATTGTAAGTTGCGTGCTGACTGACTTCAATTTTCTTGACAGTCTTTCTCAATGAAGCACCATAGCGAGTGCCATACTTACCAACGATACCAACCTTCTTTGTACGCTTCGCCTATGTTTGCAAAAAAGTAGAGCTAAGTATCGGCTTACCATCCCTTGTGACATGCACGAAGTAAACGCTACACCAAAAGGTTAAAAATTCAAACAAAGCCCCGCAGAGTCAAAAGTAAATGCAAGAATAGTTAGGAATTCAAAATTTTTGGTAAAATTAGGGCAAAAAGTTAGCCTTTTGTACATTTTTGGCGCCGGATTCTAAATGAACCAATGCTTTAACAGGGCTATTTACTAGAACTCACTCGAAACCAAAGGTGCATAATTACAGTGCCCTGAGACATCTCTAAAAACGAACAAAGACGCAGTATTTTGACAGAATCGTTTAGATTGACCTGAACTAAGGCTTGGGCCTATTAATATGGCCCGGAGGCCGAGCCATCCGACGAAGGTGCAACGGCGGAGGATCCTAAGCAGCCCTTTGCCGAAACCGAATGGTAAGCCTTTAGCGTTTTACACGGTATCTGCTAGGCACAGCTCCCCCTGCGCGGACCAGCCCTACACCCACCCCATTCTTGCCTCTTGCCGTACCCAACCGCCCAGGCCTCCCTACAGCGCACCTTGGCAAAAACGACCCTCCCCCGGAGCATTAATCAGTGCTCCCCGGTGTTGCCATGGCGACCAACCCCTAAACCCTCCCCCATTGACCAACTAATGTACATCAAGAACCTCCAGCCACCTGAGTTGATAACACAGGGGCTCCTTGGCTCGATTTGTCGCGGATGAGACAAAAAAAGTGGAATTACATCAGCACACCAGACGTAGCTGAACAATTAGTGCAAGAATATATAGGACAATGTAAGAGATAGGGGAATCAAGCCATCTTCCTAAAGTTCCTCAAAACTGGGTATACTTTGTTCAAAGCCTCGTAAACCAATTCCACTGATTTCGCACCTAAAATAGAAAACCAAAAGAACCCTAAGGGACAATAGGATGTGGTGGCCGGGATATATTCATTTAAAATTCACCATGTACAAGTCTCAAAGGGAAGGACGAAAATATCTAACCGTGTATTACTTAAGAAGGAGCACTATTTTAAGGCAAATGAAACGAAGGAATATCCAAGAAACCAGAAGTGACATACCGGTTATGATAACTTTCCCATTTACGAAGATTAGGAATACCAATTTTGGATTAATGATCCGATAAATAAGACCAGGGAAAATTTCTGGCTCATACCTATAGGCCACAAAAAGACTTTATAAACGCTATGGACTGGTAAAGTATGTACAAGAAGCTTAAATATTAATAGTAAAGGCACTCAAGCAAAGGTACAGAGTGCCGCAGCATGGCTTTGAAGAGATAACCTACTGGGACATTTGTTCATTGGCCATAAGCAGACCTTCAAGACGAATGGGGAACTTCAGATCGACTATTCCAACCACGTTTTGTATTCGAAAATTATTGAACTGTACCTAGAATAAAGGTACCAGACTGATAAAGTAGTAGGTTGATCTTACAGGAAAACCCAGCTTTTGTATCACACGAGCACATTTCCTAGCGCCCAAATTGTTTGATTCTTCTGATTTGCCGCCCGTAGTAACCATTTTTCCAGTACTAAAAAGCAGACAAGTTACGCGCGGTTCTCGAAGTCTGATGACGCATCCAGTGAAACGCCTCGGATTATATTCGGCATTTCTGATGTACATAACAACTTTCCTTAACTCAATCGGACAAGCCAGGTCCACCGATGAAACAACGTTACTACAGAATCACCAAGGAAAGAGGTGTACTATATGATCGGTTCTGGAAGACCTTCGAGTAATTCAACTTTGGGACGCGAGGGGACAAATTTGTGAATAAGGAGAGGAGCAGGCTCCCCACCTTTTGAACTCGAGGCAGGCACCGTGCTATCCATCGTCTGCACACGACGCACGGAAAGGTGCGGCCTAGCTCGACCAAATCAGTGTCAACATCATGCTTTAAAACAACAAGTTCGTCTACCTTAACATAGCATGGTAATAGATATTTGTGCCAATTTTCAGGCGTTTTTAATTAACAAGCAGCGGTAACATCGGGGTTTGGGTCACATTTGCATCCATCAAGCAATAAAAAACCCATGTTTCGGTTAGTTGGTGCCTTTTTTACTATTGTCAATGCACACATAACTAATTCTTATAAAACCACTAGAATAACCACAAAATAACAAAACTAGCGGGGCGTGCTACATCGTAAAAACACAACCTTCTGATACCTATATGAGTGCTGATGCAGGAAATTTGCTAATGATCTTTTAGTTTTTCCCTTTTCAATAAGTGTTAATTTGCTTACCAGAAGTAAACCTTAGCATTTTAGGATAATACAAATTTGTAATGCATCAAACTAATAAAAAATCCTTGTTGGGAACTCCAAAATGGTAATTTGTGGTACATACCCACACACAATATCACTTTGTGTAGCGTCCCGAGACTCCCTGAAGACGAAAGTAGACAAAATACTCGGGCAGAATATATACTCAGCGCAGAGAAGGTGTCTGGGCTATTGGCATGGCCCGAAGTCCAGCCCGCTCAATGAGGTACAGGAGGGCAAATTCAAAGTACAATAGTGACGCCTCACCAGTACCGAGGGATAAACCACTATCGTATTACACTTGCTTCATTGACCCTCAAGCCGGAAACAAAACTTATGCTTTGGCAACATAAGATTTTGCGAGTGATTCGCGTTCACTGGTTCTTAAAAGATAGGTGACGCTTCCTCAATCAAGCGACTGATCTGATCCATCCACTTTACACACCAAAGTTTTATTTAACTAAGCAAGCGTTTTATTTGCATACTGGAAGATATCTATGTTAAGAACATCCTGCATATATATATGTGTATTAACTAAATATTCTAAGTTTGTGCAGAACTACACGGACTCAATCTCTGTAGGTAGTGCTCCATCTCTGCATCATGGTCTTAATGTTCGGCACCGATAAGTGTTCTGGACACTGCTTTGGCTTATTTTGACCTCACCAAGACTTGGAGTGCCACACAGTAATAACATTAGCAGGAAAGTAATAGCATACTACGTTGGCTATTTGTTTAATTTGAGTTTATGGTAAAAGGACTACTTAGTCGCCCCGTCACCATTCCTTTGCAATTATAACAAGCCCTACGGTATTTCGAATATAGGTATACTCTCTCCTAGTACTTTGTTTTCGCTTGTCTTTAGGGAAGTTCCAGTAGCTCTCGGCTCTGATAAAGGGAATTGGGGTACTCCGCCATTGTACCCGTGCAAAGCCGCCTGGTCTTCGGGCTATGTCTGTAGCCCCAGTCCTACAATACGTTGATATTACACAACTCCATCCAATTACTTTCTTCTCGCGTATTCAGAGAAGTCTTGGGGAGCTATAAGTATCGATGTTCTGCCAACTAATATTTTTTCAAGCACGAATTACCACAAATTTTATCTTCTAACATCTCAAATTTCTGCTATAAGTTGCTATTAGTAGAGATGTAGGAGCTGAGAGGCTATTACCATAGCCCAAAAGTCATACTACAGAGCGGAAGTGTGGTGTGTCGACTGAAGTGTCAACGTAGTTAAGCAAAAGGTCAAATCTCTACACAGTCCTCCTCTCCTTTTGAATGACTTTGTCCAAGATCCTTTTGGTTAGTCTTCCGCTTCACCCACCGCAACATAATCGGCGCTTTGAATACGAGATATCAAAATGCCAGTCATTAGCATTTCATTTATATGAGGAAGTATTTGATGCAGTGCTAATGTGGCACTGAAATCGAATACCACTGGAGCTGTTTTATTTATAAACTACGTTGCGGAAGCGGAAATCCACCATTTTTCGAATTCTTGAGAAAGGCCAATGATTTACGTGGGGACCGTTTTCCACACCAACTGTTAGCCACAGGTATATTGCCCAAAAGTGGGTCTGCTTCATGCGGAGCTACTCATTCACATCCATTCCTCTTCACTGCTTTGGTCCCACTTCAGTACCGTCTAGATGGGTTAAATTCAAACTTTGGTAGCGAAGAGGAGTATAGCTTGTTTAGGTATTTAATAATTTCAAGTAGGCTACCGTAGGTAGCACTATTATGGACTTTTATAATAGTTCAAGCATAGTAATGCTTTATTTATTTATAACACTCCTGGAGAGTACGGAATTGAGGCAATTGCTAAAGGGAGACATCATTTTTTGTACTTATGTTGGGAGACTTAACAGATTCATCCATCCGCGGCAGGTGGCAGGCATAGCATTCAGTTACAAAAATCAAGGCAGTTGACCTTTTAGGTCGAGTTCACCTAGCACTGCTATCAAAGCAGCGTCTCGAATCTCCTCAAAATCGTAACAAGCCGAAGTGTTGTAACAGAGCATGGCCGAAAGGCCAAGTTGTAGATGTGAAATGCAATCTGTAAAAAGTGAACGGTCTGTGTCGTTAAACATGCAGCTAAACAAAATACCAACCTATCCTGTATCACGTTATCCTAGTTTCTATTCTCTTTGGGTCTAAGTCTCCAGCCTTTACTATGAATGTAATATGTTAGAGGTTTAAAGCTCGGTTTTGGGTAAGGGAACACTTTGCGCCTTGGCGATCGTACCTCCGTTATGTAAGACGACCTCTCGATCTGTCAGTAGCCCAACTTCTTCTGTGTGTTGAATGTGTGTAATCTGCACTAATATTATGTACTGCTTCGCCTTTAGGGAAGTCTTGGGACGGCTGAAAGCGAATTCGATCTTAATGGACAGCACTCTTGCTCAAAACTGCTGTCTGATAAACCTCTTGGGGCGGAAGATGTATATATACTACGGATGGGAGAATCGGTGACAACCTAAAACAGAAGAGCCAATTTCGACTTCAACTTTCGGCAACCAACCCAGCCTAGTGTTCTGCAGGAAAGCCACTAACAAGTAAAACGACACTAACCCTGAGTCACCTGGGACAGTTCCGTGCCTGCATAAAGACATCGATAAGATGAATTCGTGCTGCCTCCTCCAAATTCCAACTAACAGGGCAGAATCCGGATGAATATGACTGAGTAGCCCTGGTGTCAGAAAAATTTAGCAAGGAGGAACAGACGCACAACTTTATTCCCATGGAACTGTGCTAAATCCTGTCCTCCATTACATGAATATGCCATTAGGCCGGTATTCCTACATCTACGTTTGGACACGCGTAATAACCAGCGCATTACCCCATTCCCGACTCCATTTCTCGTACAGGACGAAAATGCAGATCCTGATCAGGTGTAAGGGAAAGTCAGCGAAGTTGCGGGAAAGTATCTCCTCAACTGCTTACAAACTAGATGACTGACAGGGTTATGGAGTGGGTGGTTTCCTTACAGCAATGACTACACTGTGATGGCTGACGCAGAAGGTTAACGAAGGGGACTATCGAAGGCGACACCCAGAAGAAGAGAGAAAGTGGGGCACAAGTAGGTTGTTAAACTCGGGGTTTTTGGCAAAGGACAACTTTATGTTATGGCCATTTTACCTTTGATAGGTAAGCTAGTCTCTGGGCCATGCCAGCAACCTCTCAGCCGGACTCTATGTTTAGTATGTATGTTCTACTCTGGTTTTATAACTTATTTTGTCTTTAAGGAAGCCTTGAAGAGCTGTGTAATAATGTGATACGATGGTGGTTTATACCTCGGTATTGGCGAGACGCCACTTTTGTACTTTGAATTAGCCCCCTTGTACTTCGCTGGGTGGGCTGGCCATCGGGCCATGCCAGTAGCCCAGCCACCTTCTCTGTGCTGAATATATTTATATTCTGCCCGAGTATAGTGTCTTTCTTCGTTTTTAGGGAAGTCTTGGGACGCTACAATAATCCAATTACTGGAATATTTAAGTCAACGGATTGTGTTGGCTACTTTCCACAATTTTCCTTTATAAGGTTTGATGCCCCAAAAAGAGGTCTTAAAAACACAAAGCTAGGGAAATGCAATATGTAATAAATCAAAATCAACTTGCAGCATTAATATATTAACATTAAGTTATTCTTACTCCAACAGATTCCTAATGATTTACGTCAAGTATTTTAAAGTTCATACCGTGATGATCAAAAAATTAGCAACAAACAGAACTGCTTAATCGTTTTTACTTTAATCGTCCATCATAAAGTTCTTTACTTTTCTTTACTTTTCCATGCCTATAGCTACCTAGCAGATCGGTTGAATCGACATCTTAATTAGTTTCGCCTATCTATTAACAATTTTATTGCTTAAAATAGTAAATATAATCGTCCGTAGCCTACTTAAAAACCATTACTGCAACTTATCATAGACGGCTTTATTTATTGGCTGAGTTGTTTATAGGCATGTAAATATTCACTAGGCGGTTCACGCAACGGCCTCCGTCAGGATTGTGTTTTGGGTTTGTTTGATGTCATTGTTTATAGTGAGTTTCAAAAGCACCGTGCTTTACCCTCCATTAATTATTGCTCTATCACTTTGCTGTCTTATACTAGCTCCACCTTTAAATAGTTCGTGTTTGATGAGTAGTGATTTCAACGGGCGAGTTTCATATTTGAACAGCCTTGTTGTTATCATATGTGCTTTGTTGTTTAACTAATTTCCCTCATTTTAAAGTCTCGTATTTTCGAGGACTCTGTCATTGCTCCGGAATCACCCTTTTGACTTAGTGCATGCCAGCTCCCCTAATAGCTGTTAATAGCGTTTTTAATTGCGGCAAATATTTTACCGTGGATAGGGAACTTCGGATGCTTCGTCTGCTTTGGTGTGCTCGTGATATGTTGGAATCCATGGAATTGTTGAATGTTTGCTTGTGTGTTTCATGTCTTCTATGCTAAACTAAAAAGCCGGGAAAATATTTCTGACTCGGTTTTTAATTTTACTTGGATGAAGTTATTTGGCTTGTTTGTGACTTTTTGTTAGTTCTGTAAATTATTAAAAACTGATTCAAGATTCATGCTTATACTGCTACTTGCTTGGTGGAATCGTTGGACTATTATTTCCGTAGTTTATTGGGCTTTTCTAGTACGATGTAGATTTGAATCCTGTGATCTTACGGGAGACTTAGCGTGCAGTCTTGTAGCAGTCGTTACATCCAGAGGTTTTTATGCAACATAGCCGGGCAATATTTCTTTCCAGTAAGTACTTATTTATTACCACTTCAATATCTGTCTGGTCATTAGCCAACACTTGCCTCAAATTACTAAAGTAATGACATACATACTCAAGGAATGGGCTTATTTATTGGAGGAAAATTGTTGGCTTTACTGCGAATATGATGGGAAATGTAATCCCATAGATTCCAATAAATCGTGATTCAGATCAGATAGTGCCTCGGGGTTGATTTGATAAACGTTCGACATTTGTGTGTTTAAAGGTTTGGCATCCAATTTAGTTAATTCAGTTTGGTGATTGCCATAGATCAAGCTGCTTTGTCCATTAATTGTCACAAGCGAATCTATAAACAAATGATTTGAGTGTTGTACAATTACGGTCCCGTCTAGTTTTACTGGCCAGGGGCTGCCGAGGGACTGCGGATTTCATAGCACAACTATCGTACCATTTCTTTTGCGCTAGCCTTGCGTAGTTTTTATTTGGGTTGTTTCAGTTTTGACAGCATTTATTGACGGTGTGATCGCTATCCGTAACACGTCTCCTCTCCTCCAAGTTGTGTGACATTGTCAGATAAAATTGCATGCAAGGACGATTGTGTCAGCATAATAATGTGTGTCTTTTACCGATTTTAGAAGTTCTAATGTCTGCTGCCACTAGTTCGGTATCGGCCCAACCTGTAGATCCATCAAACAATTTGGTAAGTACTTTAGGCACTTTAATGCACCACTTGACTTAATCTTGAACTGAAAGCGGTCTATACATACACACCCTTTTTATGCATAATTGCTTTCCTCTACGTTACATTACTGCATACAAAACAGAGGAATTTCTGTGCTAAATGGATTCCGCTTTCGACTTTGGTGTCATTCTAGAGTGGTTGTACTGATTTCGAGATAGTTGCAGCGTGTGGATGTCTGTCGCACCGGTGAACTGACCAATGGGCTCTTCAGAATAAAAACCGTCAAACCAGTGTTTTGAAAACTTACTGCAAAGATCGGATGGATGTTGCTTCCAGTTTATTATAAACATTCACTTCTACGGCTTTCACCAATCGAATCAAATGGTCTTAATTCCGGAGATACTCTCTCGATACTGTTGGGATCTCATAAGATTTTGAATCAGTTTCGAAAACCCTAGTGTGTAGTTGGTGACGAAAATAGCATTTGGCAGGCTTTCAGCTTACACCCCAATGCTATATTTCTTTGAGTGCATTAAAGTGCTGATAGTTTGAGGAAATCTTTTTTGAAAAGAACCTGTCAGTTTTTTTATAATCTAAAATGTTAACTGAATACTGCTCTACTTTTTATTCAAGATGTTCCCTTGCTTTAAATAGACCATTTCAGTAAACTATTTACTTGTGCATTATAATAGTGGAAAAACGGGTCATGCATTGATATGTACCTGAATTCTTTTTGTTGCTGGGATTGACTTGGGTAGCATTCAAATGTCATTGTGACATTTACAATGTGATATGGGCCTCTCTTCAATTTCGTCCCAATTTGCATAATGGGAACATTATGCTATTTCGTTGCTCTTGTCTCTATGAGTACCGAATAGTTTGAAAATAGTCGATATTAGGACGGTGTTTCTCTGTCGTAGCTATTTATGAGTGTTCACTGTTGAAGCTCGGACGTGAGATGACAATTTCTTATTCTCCCTAAGAATGGTCTGTCTGTGGGACAACAGCAGCAACAATCGCCAGCTGATGCCACGGTCGAGGAGAGTTGGAAGAGCGCTGCCTCCACCGCCGCGAATTCCTCTGCGGAGGGAGGTGGTGGAGCGGAGAAGCGCTTGGCCAGTGATAGCACAGGGCCTACTACCGCCGCCCCACCACCAGCTAAGCGCGCCTGGCGCGACCAGCCTCACGTAGGCAAGTACAAACTTATCCGCACCCTCGGAAGTGGCAATTTCGCTAAGGTCAAACTCGCCCAGCACATAACCACCAAGAAAGAGGTAGGCTCCTCTCCCGTTGCTACACTGTTCGCGTTACTTATTACCATAACCTAGTCCCTACGACTAAAAGGCCCGTTGTTTTTACGTACGGAAGCAATTTTTGCACTTTTTCTATTTTTTGGGTCCACCATTACTTTTTTACTCCTTAATAGGTATTTTTTTCAGTGGATTTAGAACATAGCCATTTAAGCATTACTTAAAATAACTACCAAATTTTTCCTACCCCACTATCTTTCATTAAAGCGCTCAAGTGTTCTTTGGCGGTATTATTAAGTAGTGTAGGTTCAGTTTATGAAATATCAAAAATTGACCACACGTGCGCTTGGTGGGAGGCCGATTTCGTGTCTGGAGTGTTCCTCTAACTCAAGTTAGTCAGCAGTGCTCACGTTACATAAATCAAGACTGGTTTTTCTACGATATTTACCTCATGGGTAGTTCTAAAAACCGCGCAATGCTGTTATTTTTTAGTACCACTTCTAGTGATTATGGTTGTGTCCTTCCTGTGTCATCTGATCATTTAAATTTGTGTTGGCAGTACCTGTAGTTGGAGCTGCTCTTTTCTCATTTGCTGTCTACTTGTTACCGCTCCAACCCTACTTTTGTGTGAATGGAATGTCTCTTAACCGTATTCCTCTTCCATTTATTACTGCGTGCGTACACAATGGTATCTTTTTCCTCTTCCATTACAGGTTGCTGTTAAGGTGATCGACAAGGGGAAACTCAATCATGCGAGTTTAAACAAGGTAGGTTATACTACCGCATCTTTCTTCCTGCGCCACCGTCTCACAGCCGTCCTTCTCGAATGCTCACGAAAGCAAAGCTCAGGAAGTGGTAACGGCAACTATTTGTCCGGCCGCGCATGTCCACACGCTGCTCGGTGGCTTACGTAATTCTCATCGGTCTTGTAATTGGTTGCCGTCTCACGATGACCTGGCCTTCAAGCTCTTAGCGTGCTAAGGAAGACAAGCAGGCAGGCGAGGGTGGTGGCTCACCAACTTCCCAACTGTTATTTTATGGCCCTTTTTGAAGTCCATTCTCATCGGCCCCACTTTAGGTGATGCCACATTTCCATTGGGCGTGAATGCATTTTTGAGTAGTCCCAAATCCCAAGAACGTTTCGCTTATGTCACATACATTTAGCGTCTTGAAGTCGCTTTAAAGCTGTATTTGGGCATTGTTGCCTCAGCTCATGAATTTCATCTGTGGGGTGCGTTGAAATGCTGCTTTGTGAGGCGTGTGTGTGTGTGCATGCGCGGTCGCAAATGCACTTGTGGTCTTTCAATTTATCAATTAGCATAATGGGAGGGCGAGCATTTGTAATGAGGCCACTTTGTTTATCCTCATGCAAATTTGCGTACACATACACACACACGTACGCGCCCATCTGACTTTCGATGTCTCCATCGTTGGAGTTTTTGTGTCGGCGTCCTAACCCACCTTTCTACTCTTCAGCTTTTTCGCGAGGTGAATGTGATGAAGCAACTTAATCATCCCAACATCGGTAAGTTAGTCACTTTTCAACGCTGCGATTTTGCCTTCTTTGATCCATTTTTTGTGCCTCATTTCATTCTTAATGACTTTTTCTTTCTGCTCTTTATCGGTTCAAGATGAGTCTGCAAAGCATGCTACTTCTTTTAAAAACGTCAAACTTCGCCTTTCTTACCAAATATATGGTTTCCCTGCATTCTTCTTTTTAAGGGGAATCGTGTGTTCTACTTTGGGATCCATTCGTACAGCAAAAGTTAGGCACTTTTTTAATTGTGAATAGGACAAAATTGGGACAGACTTGACATTGTTCGTATAAAAAAGTGAATATCACAAAACCCCAGCATCCATCCATTAATCAGTCATCTGAGGCCTTGATCCATTCATTACTGTCGAGGGAGTGGCGACAAATTTGGCAGTAACTGTGCAAAATATTTCATAGGGCGCTCACGCCCATGCTCAGTCTTCAACACCAAGGCTCGTTTCACTCGCTTCGCCTCCTCATCATTCCCCAATATCCCTGCCTTGTGCACAAGTGTTTTTTGGAGGGGAGGCATATCTTTTCGTTCCTCTTTAATCTGATTATATGTCTTGGACTCATTTATGTTTTTCATCGTTTTCTGCCCTTTACTTATACAAGCACATCGCGGATTCACGTCATCCCATCTCTAGCTCAGCTCTGCTTCGACATCAGCATTCATAGTAATTAAAGGAGTTTTTGCATCCTCCTTTGTGCTGTCTGTGACCTAATCCATTGGTAGTGGATTTCGGTTTGCCTTTGGAAAAGTGTCGTGATCGTCTAGTCTTTCCAGTATGTCTTCATTGCCATCGTTCATTATAAATCAAGCAATTGAAATTTTATGAAGTTCCGGATCGTGTCAAAAGCTACCTTGAAAGTGCCTTTTAAACTAATAAAAAGTTCACCCCTCCCCCTGCCTGCCCAACTTCTGTCTCTTCTCTTGCTTGAGCTATTTCGTTGGCCCGAAGTAGCCCGATTGAGACCGTGTATCCGTCTGGATGCACATGCGCGATGGTGATGGAGGAGAGCGTGTGTGTCTGCTTGAGCAGGTAAACACAATTGGCGTGCTGCCCGCGCCTTGGGTACTTTCGTTGTCTTCATTTCTCGTGCTCCTACTGGCTGATCTCTCCACAAATGGTGGCGTCGCCATTGCCTGTTTGTTGTACAACAGCCTGTCAATTAGCCTGTGCACGCAGTCATCAAGAAAACTAGGGGGAAGGGGCGGTAGCATTTTTTGATGCTTTTTAGTTGCCCCTAGATGCATAATTTTCTCACCACTGATTTAAGTACCCGCCTTGGGGTTCGCACACCAGACCCACGGGGATTTGGGCATTTTTAGTGATCGAATTAGGGAGGACTAAGGCGGATGAAAGTGATCCCTTGTTTAGATCGGAAGGTGGAACGCTTGCTGCTGTGGCACTGGTTACGCAGCGAATTGTTCCTTTGCGGGTAAAACACACCATCTCTCTCTCACTTGAACGTTTGGTGAATCGTTCCCTGTGAAAACCTATTAATTTCGCCTTGTTTAACGCTCATGCTTGGGACTTGGCCATCTCACTCCGTTATGTCCGACTCCTAAGCTTCATCAGCCGATTTCGTGGTTATGCAGGGAGATTTGCGTCCTTTTATTGGCCTTCAATTATTACGGGCCTTCAAATCCACTTCTCTTTTCCAAAAATGGATTCTTAAATTGCGTGGGATATTTTTTGATAATCCTAAGGCCGTCCAGGCAACAGCAGTGATGATAGCTAGTCAGCCCCAGTCGAAATCGTTCTCCTAGTTCTCAGGGGAGCATCCTCATCCGACTATGTAGGAGTTAGCGACTACGCCTAGTAAACTGGTTGACTTCTCAGTTTCGCCGTTCGTGCGGATTTCACACTAGTTACTACTCTCACC